CTTTATAGCCACCCAGTTACGTTGTGACGTTTGGCACACCCAAAGTATTCCTACGGTATCCGGGAGTTGCACAATCTCATGGTCTAAGGAAATGATACTTGACATTAGAAAATCTTTAGCATACGAACTACACGATCTTTGTGCTAGGCTTAGGATTGGGTCTTGTCCATCACATCATTCTCCTAATGATGTGATCCTGTTATCAACGACATCCAATGTCCATGGTCTGGAAACCATAACCATCTATTGATCAACGAGCTAGTCAACTAGAGGCTTACTAGGGACATGGTGTTGTCTATGTATCCACACATGTATCTGAGTTTCCTATCAATACAATTCTAGCATGGATAATAAACGATTATCATGAACAAGGAAATATAATAATAATCAATTTATTATTGCCTCTAGGGCATATTTCCAACAGGCCGTGCGCATTGCTTCAACGTAAGTGCTTCTCTTCCTTATCTCCCATTGCCACTGTGAACTTCTTTACTTGCTTGACCGAGTGGAATTTGAACCTTTCAGTGCTGCTACTTCCGCAACATATATGGACATCGACGAGGAGCGGGGTGATGCAGAGACCGCAGACGCAACCACTTCTTGGGAGGTATGATTCCACAACCATGCTTTTACTGTCAGTAGTTTTGGCAGGCGACTAAAATCTTATTGTCGAGTGTTTTGCAGTGCCAACAAATGTTATCCATCTTCCAAACGATGATGATGAGGATGTTCCTCAAAGGAGTATAGGGAGAAGGGGCAGAGCTTTGAGCAGGAGGGAACCCGCCAGCAAAGCGCCTCGCCCGGCATCTGAGCCTGTAGTTCAACAACTTGACGATCTAGTACGGGCTACTGTCTCTTTTGCAGATCCTTTGTCAACTGACCAGCCCTCAGTGTCGACTGCTCAAACTTCTGGTCCGATTGCACAACCTCAAGCTCCAACTCCACCGGCCACGTCATCGGTTCCCTCATCCACTCCGTTTGCTATGCATCACATCCCGGAGGGCCAGGTGGGAGCTGCCAAGGAAGCCATGATCCATGCGGGTCTAATGATGGACTGACTTAAGGTGGTGTATGACACCAGCAAGGCCGCCTAGACATGTAGGACACCTAGACAAAAATGTATTACTAGAGCCACCACCATCGAAAAATCTAAGCCACTTCTCAAAGCATTTCAAAAGACATGGCATCAAATCATAAAAATATAAATAAATAATATAATATATGAACAAAATACAACATATATTTTTAGGGACATCAGCACTAGTAGTGCATAGCAAAATAAGCACGTGTTGAAATTGAGCATATGCACAAGGCGCGCACGGGGTGTGTGTGTGTGGGGGGGGGGGATGATTTATGTCGCCCAAAGGTTCCATCCGTTTGGTTAATCGACATGTATCGTTGATGTGCTTGCCTCATAAGACCTTCGCTAGCCTCTGCTAGTCGCGCATTCCATCTTCTTTCTCTTCTCTACTCTATTGCTCCAAATCTCCTTTCTACCCAAAGTCTCCTCCCCTTTTCATAGCATGAATCTCCCGTCTTCATCTTCTCCCTCATCGATTTCACCTCGAGCATATGGATTTTTCTCCTCCCCTCCACCAATTTCATCTCCAATTGCTCTTTCCCATGGATTTCATCCATCCAGATCATGTGATATCATGTCCCTTTGATCATGGCGGCGCATATCATAAACCTATTATTGATTGACGTGCCATCAAGGTCGAGATGACACCAAGGCTATGGAAAATGGTTTGGTTTGCCAGATCCGTTATCGGTGGTGCTCCGGTGAGCACAGAGCAGCGAGACCTGTGGGTTTGGGTTTGCTAGATCTGGTGTAAATGAGGCTCTAGCGAGTAAAAGGTTAGCACTTTTGAGCTTTGAATTTTGTAGAGGTTTTGTTTGAATGAATGTGGTTTCGTTGCTTATGTAGAGTTTTATTTTTTTGCATGGAAAACTTGAAAACTTTACATATTTTGACTTTTTTTGATGGGCTACATAGAAATTCTATTGCATACACATGCAATTTTTTCGACCCTTACACTTAGTTTTTTTCTTGTGTTGTAGAGATTCTTGACTAGGTGGAATGTATGAAGAATGAACATTCATTATAAGGTTGTACTCAAAATATGCAGATGCTTATTTTTTTATTTTTTATCCAAAATTGGGCCTAAGTTAATTAGGTTTTTTTTTCATATAATCCTAAGGTATTATAGGAAAATTTAATAGTGGATGTTGGAAAAAAATGAATTTAATGTTAACCATTTATTGGACGATGCAATGAAAAACATGATTGATTTCATTATCTATTACTTATTTAGAAGTATAAGTGGTATCCAAAGATATGTTTTCTTTGTACTTTTTAATGATTATTTAAATCACGTTTTAAAATCATAATAGTATAAGTTAGCATAATTTAATTAGTGTTCATATATATGGAAATCATGAAGGTTGTAATGCATATATGACATAGCATTAATATCATACTATATGTGCATTTTGTATTCAAGATTTTCCATATATATGAATATTAATTAAGCCCTATTAACTTATACTACCATTTTAGTGAGATTTTGATAACTATTAATGCTATGTCATATATGCATTACACACTTTAATATTCTCCATATATATAAACATTGATTTTTTATATTGCCATTTTAAGGCGGGATGCAAAGCAATCCTATCTTTGTATATCACTTACTCCCTCCGTCCATGAATAAGTGTACTTCTAGCTTTTGTCCTAGGTCAAAGTTTTAAAACTTTGACCAACTTTATAGGGAAAAGTACTAGCATTTATGACACTAAATTAATATCACTAGATCTATTTTGAAATGTACTTTCATAATATATCAATTTGATGTCATATATGTTATCACTCTTTTGTATATAGTTGGTCAAAATTTCAAAATTTTGACTTAAGACAAAAACTAGAAGTACACTTATTCGCGGACGGAGGGAGTAAATCTGAATAAATGTAGCACTTTATCTAAAATCAACATGGAACATTGATGAAGAGTAGGAGTATCGTATACTCAAAAGAGTATTCGGCATACCGTCTTTAATAGGAGTAAGATTTTGCAGATACACTACATGAACACAAAACTAAGTGATGATCATTTATATTCCCATTGTAAAATGCGATTTAGATATCACCGAAGAAATCCAAGTGAATCCTATTTTTAGAAAGCAATTTCCCTCGGAATAAATGGTATGTATTGAATTCTATTCTATTTTACTTTCTTCCCCGTCTCCACTATCAAAACTTTCTAATAATATATTGTGGAATACAGCACAAAATAAAATAACTTAGAGCCTTTTCCAAACAAATAAACTTAGCAACAGCATCCATTCCCCACAAATATCAAATGCAACCCTTACACTTTGAACCATTCTCGTCACAACCTCACTGCATTGTCCCTAGAAAAATCTAGTACAAAGCAAAACATATTTGAAATGGAAAATGTAGCAGCAAGAAACGGTGAATGAGAAGAAAAGAAAAGAATATGCAGAAGTCGGTGGGCTTAAATAACGAACAGCACGTTAGAAAATCCGCAGGGCCTTCTTCTCGAAGCGATCCTCGTTCGCAGAGCCAGGGGCGGCAGCGTAAATACACGACGACACCACCTAATCGAGATTTATTGCACTGCTCTCGTCTCCGCTCACGCACCGTGTATTTAAGTCTCCTCCACCCGCTCCGGCCCCCTTTTTTATATTGCATCTCGGAATTCTTTGGGTCCTCGGGCTCGCCGCGATCCCGTTCTCGCCGGCCCCCGCTGCCCCCGCCGATTCTCCCGGGTTTTCTGGTCCAGCCGGGCACGCAGGCAGGGAGGACTCGCCAAGAGAATTGCGGTGCTTCGGCCAGCAACACACGGGAGGAGGAAAAGGTCAGTCCTCTCCTCAGTTGGTTCCTTCGATCCTTCCTTCCTTCTCCACTCCCTCACTTGTCTTGTTCTCTTGTTCTTCACACCCCATGGTGTGGTAGTGCTCTGCTCCGTCGTCCATGGCCGGTTCTGCATGTGAGCCTCTCGTCCATGGCCGGCGGCTCTGCATCTTCTTCCCCTGTTTCCACCCGTCTTTTCCCTTGACGAATTTTGATCTGGATTGGTAGGAGGGATACAACATAGTGCCGCCATCGGGAGTAGGCCGACAGAGCCGCCGGCCGGCGTATCATCCGGGAGAAAGGGGGCCAAGGTAGCGATCTTCCCCGACTCCCCTCCCTCTCGTCCGCTACTATTCATCGCCCTACAACCTACATACATGCGGTTCCGTTCTCGCCCGCTGCATGTATTTACTGCGGTGGGGGGCCGGCGGCACAGCCACCGCCGTCCTGCGTATTTAATACTCTTCGACACCGCCGGACGACGCATCAGAGTTCCCACGCCGTCGCTCTTGTCTCGGCCCCGCCGCCGTCCGGCCGCGTCTCTGCTTCGTTTCGTGAGAGGGAGGGAAACGTCGGGGGATTGTTCTCGACTTGTGATCCAGGTTTCCGGCCTCCCTCCCTCCCTTTGCTTCCTCTGCTCCAATGCTACTTTGTTCTTTTCTCTTTCCCGTTTGTCTCTGCTCCAAAATCTCCAGATCCTTTTCAAGCATGGTGTTTTCAGAGGTTCAACTGAACCCATCTTCTTTTTTTCTGTCCCTCCTCTTTTGTCCGTATAGTACTAGCTTGTGCGGAGGGTGCAAAGTAAAGTGCCTGGTTTTTATCAGGACAGACAACACTCTTCCACACCAACGAAATCCACAAAGCACGGCGTCTGTCTGCGGATAAATGGGCACTGCCATTAGCGTTAGCGTCGGTGGTTAGGAGCTCTAGCTCTTTTGTTTTCTCCGATCTGCTCCGCAGGAGGCAGGCATGGGCTCTCTTTTTTCCTGGATGGATGGATGGATGGAGCATTGACTTGTGGATCTTGCTTTTGCTTTTTTTAATGGCAGGAAGTAATCAGCTCTGTTCCCCAAGGCATCTCCTCACGCATGGCTAGGCCGTAACGAGATACACCGTGCAGATCATGAAGATAGGTAATAATAAGCGAGGGAGGCTCCCTCTTCCTCTTCCATCAATCTTCTTGTACTGTTGATTTCGTTATCCGCGACGATGTACGTACGACATTCGCTTATCTGCAAGAAATAATCTGTACATGATTCTAGTATATGTTTTTTTATCACTACATTGTAGTACTAGTATGCTTTGAGCGGTAGTACATGGTTGGTGAACTGCAGTCTTATGTATTCAGACTTCAGAGGTTGTCGTTGCACACTGCATATATTGGCAGGGAAGTGGAGATCACACCTATTTTTACCAGGCTTTTTTGAGCTGGAAATCGATTTTTTTTCTTAACTGGATAGAGCTGAGATTGATTGGTTTTTTAAAAAAGAGCAGAAATTAATTGGTTTAGCGATAGATTGATAGCATATACTGATTACGTTACATTTTTGATACACTGATTGATTTTTGAATTGCATATACTGATTGATAGCTTGTGTGCATCATTACCATAGATCTCACTTTGTTATTCCATGAACACAAGTAAATGAAACATCTAGTCAGTAGTCACTCGATGGCTTACGATGTAGTATGTCTCTTATCATTTGCCATACTGTAACTAGGTTTCATCTTGTATCGATTTTTGTAGAGAAGGTTTCATCTTGTATCTATTTTTCTAGAGTACCTTCGAGGAACTAGGTCCTTTTCAACCAAGGAGAATAAAAACACCCAAATCCTAGTTGAAGAGGACCTGAACCAGGGGCTAAATTCCTCATTATGTATCAGTTCCTATCAGCCTTTTGTCTTTTGATGTGACCAAAAGGCAGTCATCTATTCCCTCATCTTCTTTGGTTGGAAGATTGTCAAGTGTCAATTCTCATTTCAAAATTAATATTTTGGCTAGTGTTTTTTGTCTTATTCTTTCAACACTACCAGCAGCCTCGCTTAACTTAGAAAACTGCATTGTCTCTGTCACAGAGACATTGTGAATGAAAACTTAATGTCTTCTGATTGTTAAAGTGACAGTACAGCTAAATGATAGGGAACCAACGGCAGAACTTACGACTTAGCGTGGGTTCTCTTTTGTTCATTCCATCATGATGGTATCTCTTGTCCGTTTGAACCTTTTATGGTCTTAGTAATTGCTTGACTGTTCAAATCAGAAACCATCAGTGTTAATTGTGGTACAGATTGTTAACTTGTGAACTAGTCTTCTTTTTTGTTCACACTTCACACTTTTAATGGTTGATGATTTTTGATGTCCTCGTGCAGATAATGAAAGGCCTTACCATACCAATGCTTTTCATGAGCTTTTAGGCAGTGGCGGCCCTAAAGTAGACGGTGAATCTGAAAGGGAAACTAAGGACAATCTTTTGGAAGATAAAATGGTTGAACAGACCAATTCATCAGAACATGGTTTTGTGAAAGCTGAGCATGAGAAGGGAGGTAAAACCAGACAAATACGGATCGAGGATGTTTCTTATGACAAGGATGTTGTTGAGATCAGCCTGCCAAGTTCTGTGGTTTCTTCGGATTATGGTGGGCATTTTGTCAAGGATGTCTGCATTGATGAGGGAGTGCTTGCTGATCAAAAGGGTTCTGGAGAGAAGGTAGTAAGTGAAAAGGTGTGCCCAATCTTTGATTCTTCAATGGCCGATGCAAATGGTGATCTGAAGGAAGACATAAGAGTTGATCCTGTGAAAACTGCACATAAGTCACAGATAGTTCCCCTTCATGTCGTGCATGCTACTGATGGTAATACTATGGAAGAAATAAGAGCCGATCCTTTGAAAACTGAACATGAATCAGAGTCACAAATTGTTACCCTACATGTTCCATGTGCTACTGATGGTAATAAGATGGAACAATATTCTTCTGGCGAAGCACATGATCTTGAAGGCAACAAGACTACAGATGAATTTACCAATGTAAACGATGAGAAATCAAGTCCTAGACAGTTACCAAGTCATGAAGCTGCAAAACAGTGCCAGCAGGTGGGCACAGTAATTTCTGAGACCTGTGAAACTCACAAGCCATTTTGCGATGGAGAAGCAATTGATGAGGTATGATAGATTTACAGTATCACCAATCTGCTCTCATAAAATATATGATTGCCCTAAACATGTACCGCAATTATTTGGTGACTGACCATACTAGCAGAATTTAGTTGATATGCTTTTTTGGTTCAATGATCTGTTCCAGGAAACTAGTCTTGCCACCTGGTGTTCCTATTCGGATCAATAAATGCAATCGAATGTTAAACTAAAATTATTTTTTTGTTATTATATCATTTATCTCCATATTCCGCCTCTCAGTATGATTACTGTCATTACAGGTAGCATCAAATGATTGTCATGAAACTGGATCTAGTACTGCACCAGAGTCCAGTTCCCTCAGTGGTTTACCAGTTGAATCAACTTCTGATGGGCTATCAGCTGCAATTCCTGAAGAAGATGGTGCAGAATTAGATAACAGAGGATTGAATCCAGCTAATCACTACAACCCTTTTATCGCCTACGGATCTTTAGAGGACACATGGGAATCCAAGTACGCTCTACCTACCATTGTCGACGATGTTTCTGTTGTACCCATGTGTCCTGTTGGAAAGACAGATAGTTTCAGTGATATTGTCAACGGTGGCGCACTGGGAGGTTTTGATTATGTTGAGACAGCTGAATCCAGAATTGGAGACAGTAGTAGGTTAGATTCTGTTGGAGCACGTTCAAGCAGGCTGGGAGTCCAAGCATCTGAAGAGAGCCATGATCAAGGAGGTCTTGTCGAAAGAACAGATAGTTTTAGTGACATCATCAAGGGTGCACCAGGTAGATTTGATTCTGTTGCAGCAGATGAAACCAGAATCAAACACAATAGACTAGATTCTATAGAAGAAAGTTCAGGCAGGTTGGATGTCCAAGCATCTGAAGAGAGCAGTGATCAGAGAGATGTCGGTAACAAGATGAGAATTGATGGAGCACATGGTGCAGAGCCTAGTGATGTCAAGAGTGAGAACCATCCGAAGTGCGAGACCGGTGCTGTCGAAGATGAACATGACTTCAACCCAAGAGACATGGGGGATGGCACAAAGACAAGGGAGGAAAGCAACGGCGGCGAAGAGAGCTCTACGGTTTCGCAAACGGAGTCGGCGGTACAGCAGAATGGACCTGATGGCGCAAAGTTGACGACTCGGGGCGGCATTCGCAACCCCTTTGAGTCGAGCTTCTCTGGAGCAAACATCACGCTGGACGCGGTAGCGCCCTCTGCTCACATTGGCAACACTTCTCTTCGTTCGGATAGCAGCACGACGAGTACTCGGTCCTTCGCATTCCCAGTGTAAGTGAAGACATCTGAATAGTATCACCACTACATTCTTTTTTCTCAAGTAACATAAACTCATATGTGTTGATCCACAGGCTACAGGCAGAGTGGAACAGCAGCCCGGTGAGGATGGCAAAGGCGGACCGCAGGCGTTTCAGGCGAGACCGGGGCTGGGGTTACAGGGTCCTCTGCTGTAAATTCTGAGAGCATTTTTTTTAACTGTCTGATGAGTCTAGCTCATGGCCGGCGGCCTCGCGCCTGAGCTAGTGTTAGCCAGCCCATGTTAAATTCATTCAAATGTTGATCGTTTCTCCCCTTCCTTGCTCTTCTCCCCCCACATGCCCTGCTCTTTTATTTTTATTTACAAATAGCAGGAGGTTGATGGCTTGTCGGATTCGCCAGTGGCTTGTAATTTGCAGAGATTGTGAGTGAGAAATGAAGAGGTATAGCTTTCTTTCATGTACTACTGCCAGCATTCCTGATTGCTTATACATACATGTAGTGCGACACGAGCAATGATGCCCAAAACAGAGCAAGAGTCGAAGCTATTACACTCACCAGAACGAGTTCAGTTTGCCATGACCCGAATGTGAACAAGCAACAAAATAAGTTTGGCACACATAGAACGCTGATATTCTGCAAACCTGATTACCGGTGGACATATAGGACATTACATGTAGATATAGCATACCCCCCAAGCCTGCACATCCGGCACAAAACTGCCCCTTTTTCCGCACGAACTCCTGCCAGTAGTCCTTGCAGAAAACAGGGCTAAACCTGATGTCCATCTTGGATGCCAGATTAAGGCTGACCAGCTAATGATACACTGTAGTACCAACTTGACGTTCTTATATTATGGGACAAAGGGAGTATTTGGGTATCCTGCAAGCCTGCAAATCTAGCTGACTAGTTGTAGTAGTAGCAGTAGTAGAGCAGAGAGCGGCTCTGGCTAAGCTAAGCTTCTTGTAACTATGTATTCTACCTAGCTGCGCTGCGGGGAAGGTCTGACGGACTTAGGGCTTGTCGTCGCGAGGCTCGTCGTTGTGAATGGGCTTGCGGCGCCTCGCCCTCCACGCGTAGTCCCTCCTCAGCATGTCGTGCAACTCGTCCGCCGCGTCCACCCGGTGCCTCCTCGCCGCGGGCAACTCCACCGTCCTCACTGGCCGTGAGCCGCCGGCGTTCGAGACGGGGACGGCCTTTCCTGCGTCATCACCAACCACCTGCTGCCGGCCTCCTCCGATGTTCAGGCCATCTTGGGCCTCTAGCAGCACCACTGCAGAGATAGTAATACAGTAGCGCCACGATTTAACAAGGGATGTATGCAAATCTTACCATCTCAACAAAGCCAACAAAGTAACAAAGGAGGAAAATATATACAGATATAGATATGTCGATGGGTGAAGAGAAGACAGTAAGGAACTCACCATGGCGAGCACAAGCAGCGGGAAGGTAGAGCGTGAGCAATAACGAGGCGAAGAGCAAGGCAAAAACGAGGACTGCGCCACTGATCCGGGTGCAGCTCATGGTGTTCTATCTTTTCCTGCTATGTGTGTTCGTGTGTCAATAGGAGTTGAAGAGAAGGTACAGGGTTGGGTTTTGTTGAGGTTTTATAGGGAAATCAGTGGCCAGTGTTTTTAGGCTGGCTGGCTTGCTAGAGTCTAGGGATAGACATGCAGTCAAAGCTAGCTGAGGTTAATTTTACTTAACGAACCCCCAGGCAGGACTTGTTTAATGCTCTGCTCCTACTTGTGCCTGATCAACCCAAAGTATCCAAGAGCAGAGACATAATCTCACTCAGTATGTGATGGTCCTTAGAGCATCTCCAGCCGTTGAGCCTTCAAGAGGCATTTTTTTCGCCCTTTCGGGGGGTTCTGGCGAAACATTTACTCTGGGGGTGAAATATTA